CCAGGAGCTGCGTAAACGGGTAGCTACCGTTGCGTAATGAGCAGTTGCTGCGCGAAAAGGGTAGCTACGTCTTACGTTGACCATACGACAGTTGTACGAATGGCGGGCGCGTTTACCGTATATAAGGCGCGGCCTGACCAATGTTTTCTGAGGGATATTCCAATCATACAACTCCCGCGCACGGTAGCAGGACGCACCGGCCAAGGCAGTTTGTAACGGGTATCGCCTTCACTTGGCGTGGATGACTCCCACCCATTTTATCTTGTCAACAGCCAACCAGGTTCCAACCTGACATTGGGCCTAGTGGCCAAGAAGCAGTAAAACTCTGCTCACATCAGGCTCACAACCACACCTGGGCCTACGGTCTCAGGACAAAACTCTGATTCTGCTTCCGCTCGCGCACACAAATCTCGATCCTATCTCGCTTAAGACAATCTACTGGTATCGATTCCTTTCTATAAACGATCCTGGGCGCCCCGGTGTGTCCATCCAGCGGTTCCCCCAAACGCGAAAATTTTTGGGCTGCCGCTGGGTGCCGCCCGCCGCGGCGCGGCTGGTATCGAGACTAGGGTTTTAGCCCTGTCTCTAGCTACTTTCGAACAGTCTGCTAGGCGTCCCACTGGTTGTACGTCTCGTACGCCATGGAGAGCCAACATCAATCTCACTTTATCACACACCCCCATCCCTCGAGCGTCTCGTCTGTGCCTATCTTCCGGCTGGGAGACAGTGCACGGCAATGGGTCGCCAGGGTTGAGAGATGTGGTCGAATGTACGGCTGGAGCGCAGAGGCTCAGCTGGACGTCGCCATCTGCCGCTTAGGAGATGAGGCCATCTGCTGGCAAGCCGGCATGGAAGCGTCTCTCCCCGATTGGCCTAGCTTTAAAGCCGCGTTTCTGGAACGATTCGATCCGACCCAAGAAGAGTTGTTTAGCCGGCTAGCTCGTTGTCGGCAAGAACGGGGCGAAGCTGTACGGACGTACGCTGACCGCTACCGCGACCTAGCTGCACAACTGGGTGTGGACACGCAACACGACCCCATCCACATGCATAACTTCTTACAAGGACTACAACTCAAGGTTTACAACAAGGTTTTCCTCATGCGACCATCTAGCTTTGAAGACGCTGTACGATGCGCCATCTATATCAACGAGGGCTTGGACCGCCAGGATGTGGCTGGCCACTACGAACCGTTTCCCCCTCAGCGCACACGCGATATGGATTTCCACAGCCATCCTTCTCGGGCTACC